AGCCGCGTCTCGAGGAGGGGGCGCGGACAGAGGCCTCGGGAGGCCGCTCTGCCCGGGATGGGCGGGGCGCTCGGAAACCCCTCTGCGAAGTTGGGGGGCCGCCCTGTGCGCCCTGAGCTCGCCGCCCCTGCAGACTTGCGCGCTGGGGAGCCTCGCCGCCGCCCTGTGCTTCCCGTCGCAGCCCCGAGCGCACGCCCGGCGCTCCTCCTGTTCGCCCGCCTGCCCGCCTCCCTCGCTCACGCGGAGGCTTAAACAGCGCGTTCGGCTGAACTCTCCTCCCCTTTGTCTCCCGCGGTAAGTAGGGCTCAGTCCCTCTCGAGCCGGTTCAGGGTGATCTTTCATTAGCACCCTGTGTCACAGTCGTCCCACCTACTTTCGGTCGCCGAGCACGGCAGGCATTCGTTCATCTTCCTGAGAGCCTCTTCCTTAAGGGCAGGGACAACGTTGGCGTCATCTCAGAAACATGACTCAGCGTCGCTTAGGAAATGTTTGTTGAGTGAATGCATGAACAGATGGCTGTCTGACTCCTTACTAAGCAGGAAAGCCGTAGGGCAGAGGTGCTTGTCCTGTTCCCTTTTGTGTCATTGGCATCAAGGGTGGATCTAGTTTTTGTGGGGCCTTGAAGGAACAGAAATCACAAAAAAGGTTAGAAGCGTTGGAAGATGCACGTGAGGGATCCCAAAGCTTGAGCTTCATTAATTTCACAGTAAATCCACCTCTGCTTGGCACACAATCCAACATCTGGCACTTTGTTGCACTCAGATATTTTTGGATGAATATATGTATGCAGGAATTAATGAGTGACAGTTTGCAGAGGACAGTCAAGCATCATAAACATCCATTAAGCACCTACCTTCTGACCAGCGCTGTGTTAGGGTAACATGAAGCAAAAGGAGTTGTGCAGGAGACAGACATATAAACAAAACAGGTGTCATAAAGCCTTGCACATGTGTGCGACAGACGCAAAGGAGGGTGTGGTCAGTTCTACCTGTGGGTCAGGAAAGGCTTGGTAGGGGGGATGATACTTGAAACAAATCGTGAAAAAGGATTAATTGGTTCCAGTGAAGACAGTGTGGGCAAGGCTTTCTCAGACTAGGAGAATAGTGTGCATATAAGGCGTAGAGGGGTAACAGTATAACGTAAGTTGGTTCAGTAACCATTTGCATGTGACCGAAATATGGGACACTCAGAAAAATTAGACCAGAGTGGCAGCAGTGGAAGATCTTGAAGCGCCTCATATATCTCTCTATAGACTTTGAACTTTGTCCTGTGGATGGATGTTGTATAGTAGAGAAAGCACTAGAGGTGCCAAGAGACCAGGTTGTTGTCTTAACTCTGCAACTATTAGCTATATGATGTTAGTAAGCAAATCTTATGACCTCGGTTAATTTACCTGTAATCTATCCTCCTTTTTTTCTCTCTCTCTCTCTCAAACAGAAGACTTAAAAAAAAACAACAAAACTGCATTGATCCTCTATGTATAGCAGATCAAAATGAAAGTTTCTTGGGTTGAAGTGAGAGGAAGAGAAGCAGGATATGCTCCCTCCCTGTGCCCCCAGTTTGGCCCAAGCACTCTCTGAACTTACTCTTCTAGAATCGTGGTTTGATCACAGTTTTGGTTTTTGGAACACCCTTTCTAACTCTGAAATCACTGATTTATTAACCCTTTGCCAATTTTGTGTCTTGCTCGGGGATAGAGAGAGGATTTGAGGATGGCAGAGACAAGAAGCACAGCTGGGTTGGCAAGACCTTTGGAGAGCACTGTGATCACTTGGGCCTGTCCCCAGGTGGCAAGAACGTGCTTTAGTCTGTTGAGTTAATGGGCCTCTCAAACAGTAACAGTCTAGGGTGCTGAGTTCCCTGTCAAGGATATTAAGGATGTCTGAGAAGAACCTTGTGTGTTCTACAGGTTGTTGAACCGCATATCAGGAAAAGTCCCAGTTCTGCTGTGTAATGAAGGGTAGGTGTCAGGGCCTGACGATTCTATTTTTTTTTTTTTTGAGTTGGAGTCTCACTCTGTTGCCCAGACTGGAGTGCAGTGGCCACTCCTGGCCACCGCAGCCTCGACCTGCTGGGCTCCGGTGATCCTTCCGCCTCAGCCTTCCAAGTAGCCAGAATTACAGGCATGCGCTACCACTCCCAGCTAATTTTTTGATTTATTGTAGAGATGAGGTCTCACTGCCCAGGCGGGTCTGGAACCCACGGGCTCAGGCAATCCACTCACCTCAGCCTCCCAAAGGCGAGGGATTACAGGCTGAGCCACCCCACCGAGCCCAACTTGGCGATTCTATTAAGTGAGGACCAGGGCTTTGTTGTTCAGGGCCACAGCCTCTCTTGAACTAGGGAAAGCATGAATTCTTTTGAGGTATTGTGATTTTAATGTTGCAGTTGCTTTGTGTATTATCTCCTATTCTTGCAATCATTCCCCAGACTGCCTCTTTCCTTGTGGAAAATTCAACTAGAAGAAGAGCTAGTGATGGGTATTTGTGCTTTTACCACAATCAAATGTGTCAAAATCTGGTTGTTATTTTGTTTGGCCTAGAGTCTTTGTACATTAAAGTCTGGTCAGTACCAGAAGCTCCTATTCTAATTCAGGTTCAAACCTAAGGAAATGTAGCAAGTTACAGTAATGCCTTTTAATACGTTCCTTCCTTGAAGCATGCGCTGTCATTTCTAGGAAATATTTACCTGGTTCAATTCCTGTTCTTCCATTTCATTCCTTGACTGAATGTCTGATGCTAGATTTCCATCTCATTGAATTGTTGAGGTTATATTAAGTGTAATAAAATTGCACTGAAACTAGATTGCCCCCTACCCAGACAGGTTTCTTCCGCATCATTCTTTTAAGTATTTAACTTTTATGCTCCATTTTGCTAAATGTGTATGTATTCAAGTGTATGTCTTTCCATTAAATCACAAATGGACAGTAATGATATTTCAGGGTTTTTTGAGAAGGAACTTATATTATTTGAACAACTTCAAATGATGATGAATATGCAACTTTGCAATGGGAGCTTAATTAGTTAACTCATTTGACCTATGGGACTAACGAGAACCATGGAATTGGAAAGGGAAGTAGAACTTGCATTCGAATCTGCATTCTGCTACTTAGAAATGACTTGGTTAAAAAAAGTAAAGCAAGCGAACAAAAAAAGAAGAAAGAAACATCCAGTCCTGACCAGGTACCACGACTCACACCTCTGCTCGCAGCACTTCTGGAGGCCGAGACAGGAAGCTTGATGCTGGGAGTTAGAGACCAGCTTGGGCAACACAGAAAGACCCCGACTCAAAAAAAAAAAGAAGAGGAAGAAAGAAAGAACTGACTTGGGCAGTTTCTCTTATCTGAGCCTAATTTGCTTAATGTTTATAAAATAAATATGATAATACCCTACTTAACTCACAAGCCAATTATTAGGATCTTTTATTTTTTAATTTAGAATTTTTTTTTCAGAGACAAGGTCTTATGCTGTTGCCCAGGTGGTATGGGTGGTGAAGATTATTCGTAGAGACTGGGTTTCTCTGTGTTGCCCAGGCCGGTCTTGAACTTTTGGCCTCAAGCAATCCTCCTACCTCATCCTCCACAAGTGCTGGGATTATAAGCAGGAGCCACCATGCCCAACCTGTGAGGATCTTAGGAAGCTATGTACGTATTATAAGGAACCATACTGATCATCATTGTTCCCCTTTGCTACCTCTCCCCTGGCCTTCATGTAGGCCACTTAGACATATTTTCCTCAGTGACACTAAGCTGTAGTCTCTAAACCACTTAGTGGTCTTGCATTTTCATTCCTTGCTTGTAAAGGGGAGCCAAGTAGGTGCATGAAGGAATGAGTGAAAATCCTGTGCAGGTACTGATGGCATCAGTGGTGGAGCAGAAGTACTATCTACACTTGTAAAAGACAGTAGCCTTTCTGTGTCAAAGTGAAGCTTTTTGTCAGGGATGACACAGGTGTGGCAAGTATGCAGCTGTTCCTCTGTCTTCCTCTCTGTGATCATGGAAGCCAGTGCTAATTTTCTGGTGGATCCCTATAACTCAGAATCCTTGGCAAGATTGTATCCCTGAGCCATTACCAGTTGTTAGGCTTGATGCTCAAGTTGCAATCTACTTACTAACATCCTACCCAACATGTAGTAAAAATGGAATCTCTATGTCTAAGACAGAACAATGGACTTCTGTTTTTTAAGTGCTTAAAAGGATCTTGAGTGAACAGGCATATAGACCAAAGGAACAGGATAGAGATTCTGGAAGCAAAACCTCAATTTCTCAACCAACTTATTTTCGACGAAGCCTCCACCAGCATCCACTGGGAAGAGGAGAACCTATTCAGTAAATAGTGCTGGGAAAACTGACTGACCACATGCAAAAGATAAAAACAAGACCCCTACCTATCACCATATGCAAAAACCAACTCTAAATAGATCAGAGACCTAAGCGTAAGACCTCAAACTATAAGAATCTTAGAAAACACAGGAGAAACCCTTACAGAAAATGGAATAGGCAACCAATTCCTGTAAAAATCCATGCCATAGAGATAAGATAGACAAGTGGGACCTCATCAAGCTGAAAAGCTTCTGCAACGCAAAATAAATCATTAAGAGAGTGGGGAGTCAGCCCACAGAATGGGGAAAAACTATTTGCCAACTGTTTATATGACAAAGACCTAACATCCAGGATTTACAGAGAACTCAAACATGCCAAAGGGAAAAAACAAACAGCACTATTAAAAAGTGGGCAAAAGATATGAGTAGACACTTTGCCTGTACGATGACCACTTATGTATCTAATCCTGAATTATACCCCACATCTTAAAAAAAAAAAAAAGAAACAAATAAAAGGATTCTGAGTTTATTTTGTTAGTAGGAGGGAAAACATCCAAATAAATGATTTGTCCCAAATCATAGCAGCTGATGTCATAGGGCAGAGTCAGAGGTAGACACCAGGACCGTTGACCCATTTTCATGCTGTTTCCCCCCTCTACATGCTCCTGCACTTTTCACATCAAAAGTTCTTTGGTTTTTGATGCAATGAGTCTCTTCTTGAGTTAATATTCACAACTGAATACTTAGTTGAACTTGGGGCAGAAGGGCTTGAATTTGAATGTCTCTTACTTGTGGTATGAACTTGGACAAGCTATTTAATTTCAGTTTTCTTATGTTTAAAAGAGAATGAGTAATAACTTTATAAAGTGGTTAAGCAGATGAAATAAGAAAAGGTATGCAGGTGCCAGCATGAGTCTGAATTCTTTTGGTTGCAAGTAACAGTAACATAACATAAACTAACCTAAACAAAATGG